TGAAGCCTTTTCAGAATAACTGAATAATGGGATGTAAACAAAATTTTAGAACCAAGAGAGAGGTCAGTGCAAACTGCACACAAGCTGTCAAACACTCTCTCAGGTTTGATGTGTCTGATCTACGACCAAGTCCCAGTCCTTATTAACACAACAGACTATTCCCTGGACACCCTTCCCTGTGCCCCATTTTATGCAGCCAAGTGTTCTTCAAATATACTCTCACACCTGGTCCCTCTGGGTAACATTTACAAAAGCACATAAGTGCCACTGACTTGATATTCAGGTGCTTTTGAAAATGAGACATAAGCCCCCAAATCATTTAGATGCTTTGGAAATGACACCCTGCAATGTCTTTTACCAACTCATGGCCAGTTACAAGACTGGGGCTTCAACTATAAGCTCCCCAGGGCAGAGACATGGTCTTTATCTGCAAAATGTCATGCCATATAGTGCTATATAATTAATACATCACTGTTACTATGCCACTTTGTGTTTGGCAGTTAATTCATATTTAGGACATAGGATGGGGAGAGGGAATCTAAGAACAGGGACTGTTCTTGTAACAGATACGCTTGCAAGTGTTCCAACACTGAAGCCGTACTGCTTGTACCCTCCAACCTTAAGGAGGTATTAATTCAGTTCTAACACTCCAAGAGGTAACATATGCAGAACATACTGGAGTTCTGTACTTCTTCTCTCTAAATGTCTGTGGGTCGGAAGAATGCCCCTTTGTAATTGTCACAATGGTGTTGATTTCAGTGGAGTTATACTGGAATAAACCTGTAGTGAATCAGGCCCTGATCTTGATTTTACATCAAAAGTCTCTCTCATTCTCAGCCATGGGAAAAACCCAGCTTTCCTGGAATGGAATCACTGCCTCATCAAACATTTGATAAGGGGCCATCCATTTAGAATAAATCCAAGGACAAACAGTGCTTCTCTAGAGCACATACAGAATAAACTCTTTACACTGGTTTTAGAGGCACTAGCCAAAATTAAATCAAGTTTATCTCCTGCTATTAAAGATACATCTTCAATAAAATCCCCTTTCAAAAAGAGGATTGAAAAGTACACACTGTTAACACATGAATCTATAATTCCTGAAATGTTCCACTGAGAGATCAGTATAAAACCTCTCTTCCAAATAATGGGGACCAAATGTTTTCCAAACACTAACCCTCCCCCTCAAAAAAGATATTAAAAGCCTCTATGCAGCACCTAATCTGAAAAACAAAAATATCACAGCCACCCCATGATGCATCAGCAATATGAAATGAGTTCAGGCTACATTTCCCCCTCAATCAACAACCAACTCATATTCAATGAGAGAACAGCCCAGCAATTTCAGAAGCAGAACCCAGCAGAATAGTGCATGCACTAGAGAAAACAACAGCAGCACAAAAATGAAATGGTTCAAGTAATTCATTATTACAGAAGGTGGGGCGCAGAACAAGTAACAGAAGCCAGCTGGCTCAGTTCACATTCTGCCTGTGCAGCTAGAGAGCCCCAGCATTATTTTAGATTATAAACGTCAACTCCCCATTGCCTAATCAGTGTTCTTAATTCCCCAACTTTCTGAAGCCCTCTTACTTTGCTCATCCATCTTGTGTCACCCTCAGAACATGGAGGCATTGGCCCAGCTAGCCGGGGAAGTAGATCATCTCTTCTGTTTCCTCCAGTAAGTATAAACAATACAGCTCTGAAAGAAGTCCCATAAAAAAATATATCCCAGGGGGTGGAGCAGCTTAATGCTTCTGTGAACCTTGTACCTAGACCACATATAAGACAATACCTTTACACCTCAAGAAACAATCCAATTATATATAGCCACTTATATACAGATTCTGAAGGCAAAACAAGAGGAGATATCACATATCTATAAAACAAGGACGCTTACTCAAGACCTTCAGATCCTCTACTCCACACGGGGTTTCCAGAGCAATGGGCTATGCCCTTCCAATTCAACCAGCAGTCCAAAATGCTCTGGAACAGTCTACCAATATCCAGCGACCACACTGACAGGTCAAAACTGAAAACAAGCTTTAAGCTGACTAACCAAGAGTGTTCCAGAATAGCAAAGAGGTCACCAAACAAGTTTTCCAAATTGCTTGTGCTGGTGTGGCACCCATTCAAGCCTCCAGCAAGAGAATGTGACACAGACAAGTATCACCTAATGCCAAATAAAACTGGGAGTGTCAGTCACAGACTGCGCCTCAATAAGGCAAAGCTGCAGCTGCTGGAATGAAGGAGAGTCTGCTATAAAAAGCACATTGCTTTACAGCTCTAGCATTTTGGCTAGAAAAGGCTGCTTCATGGTTCAGTATTGAAGCATCCCAGAATCATTATTGCAGGCAAATCAGACAGGATACATATACTTCAAGGAAGGGAAACCTTAGTCCATGCTCGGGGAAATTATGCACACAGACGTTTCACCTGCACATTCTGCTTCCAAAGGCAAGGGAAGGTTCTTACAAATCTTTCCAGCAACCTGTCTGGCAAGACCCTCATCACTTTGGCCCTTTTACATCCAGACTGTAACTCAGTCATTTGAGGAGGAATATGAGAAAACCCACAAATCTTTAGGGATCCAATTCCCATTTTGACACCAAGTGAGCCTGCTCAGGGTTGCAGGTATTTCCTTCCCCCAACTCCCTTTGTCAAATTAACATAAGCACATCAAGCCACATACTTTACACTGCACAGATCAGCAGGCCCAAAAGCCCAAACAGACCCGCCCCCTCCCCCGCTGAGTTTGTTCTGTTTGAAACTGAAGTGTTCAGTACTTGAGTACTCTTTTTCAGAGGAGGATCCCTGGCTATATTTCGATCTATTCCAGAGTTTCCAGTTGGGAGGGGGGGTTATTTTTAGACATCTTTTGTTTATTGTAAGAGCAAAAAAACCCCAAAATCTGACTAGGCAGGAAAAGACATTCCTTTGTAATTATATCTTATTTTAAAGTGACACTCTCTGAAGCCTCTACTCCTGGGGCTAAGTTAACAATGAATACAGCAGATCCTTAGGGCCTGCCAGTGTGTGTTCGTTCTCGTTCTCTCTCGTTCTCACTCTCGCTCTGTCTCTCTTGCTCTCTCTCGTTGTCTCTCGTTCTCACTCTCGCGCTCCCTCTCTCTCTCTCTCTCGCCCTCTCTCTTTCTCTTGCTCTCTCACTCTCTCTGCAACTAGTCAGCTATCCGATAAGCTTATGCTGATCAGATAGTTGAGTAGTGACGACTAGTTGCTTCCTCCTCCCCCCTCCCCGCTTGCTGTCTCTATCAGAGAGAGGCAGCTGGGGAGGAGGGAGCAAGAACTGGTGCTGGGGGGAGCAGAGGCACAGCAGGGAAATGGCGTGAGCGGGGACTGAAGCAGTCTCCCACTTGTGCTGGTTCCCACTGCAGCTGCTTCAGCCTTTGAAGTGCACAAGAGCCCCAGAGGGCTCTTGTACATTTCAAGGGCTGAAGCAGCCACAGTAGAAAACAGCATGAGCAAGGGCCTGCTTCAGTCCCCACTCACATCGTGCTTCCTGTGTCCCCCCCCCTTTGCTGCCTCTGTGAGGGGGGGACAGAAGCCGGTGCTGGGGGTACATGGCTTCAAAGCCGGTTCCCCCCAGCACTGTCTCTGGGGTGCCCCCTGCTGCCCTCCTGCTGCCTCTGATAAGAGTCCAGGATGGGGAGAATAGGGAAGGCTGCTGCAAAGCAGCCCCTGTCTGCAGGAGTCCCAGCAAGTCCCTGTTTGTAACAGTCAGGGCTGGCCTCAGCGGCAGGGGGCCCACCTCCTCTGCGGACAGGGGCTGCTGGACCCAGCAGTCCTGGCTCTTGCTGATTGCTGAGCCTCTGCATTTTAAACATATTAAGAGCCCAGCAGCTCAAGCTGGCTCCTGGAGCTACTCCCACTGTGGCTCTGCAGAATGGTCCTATCGACTATATGATGACAAATTGCAGCGACTATATGATTAGTTTGATAACCGCATTTTAACTCTGCGGACAGGGGCTGCTGGACCCAGCAGTCCTGGCTCTTGCTGATTGCTGAGCCTCTGCATTTTAAACATATTAAGAGCCCAGCAGCTCAAGCTGGCTCCTGGAGCTACTCCCACTGTGGCTCTGCAGAATGGTCCTATCGACTATATGATGACAAATTGCAGCGACTATATGATTAGTTTGATAACCGCATTTTAATATCCTTATCTCTCTCTCACACACTGCAAAAAGGATATAAATGTCAAGTATGTTTCTGTATATACTTTGCATAAATCTAGCCTCTGGTTTTTGACTGAGTGGGTTTTTAACCTAGATCCAGAGCTCAAAATTACCCAAGTTCTCCTTGACTGGATGTTATGTACCTGTCTCAGTATTGCTTTGAAAAGTAGATTTTTGACACCATGTTCAGCAATAATGAAAGAGCTGTCACATTCAGTACAGATTACAACACAGAATGAAGCAATGCTGCATGTAAATTGTCATTTGATCAGAGTCAGGTTTTAAATCCAAAAAATGCAGAGACTCAGAACGAGAAGCACAAGAAACCAGTGGAATGCCAACAACCAACAAGAAAAGAAGCTGAAAAAATACTCCTGATGACAACTTCCAGCAGGTTGCCCAAGTCCACCTTTCAGTGTCCCACACAAAGTAGCACCAAGCCCTGTTTTCCTCTCTGCACCCTTCACCTCTTACCTGACGAGTCCAGCTGTTTTATGTGGTGGCGATTTCTCCACCTGCTTCCCTCTTTGCTTCATGTCAGCTAGTCGCTGTCGCATGCTGATGGTCATCTCCGAACTTAGGCGCCAAATAAAGATACAGCAGAAAGTGGGGATTCAGTCCATGGCCTTTTTGTTCTTGGGAAGCAGCCTACAGGGAAAAGACTGTGCCAAATGGAGTCTACTAGAATGATTAGCACTTTGGAGTCAGACATAGAAAAGCTCTTGCCCCACCCCCGCTCTCTGGAACTGAAGAGACTTTTCTGTTAACAAGAGATGCTTTTGAAGTTCCTCTGTTGGGGCCATCGGTAAGGTTTTGCACATTTGTTAATGTTTGTATATAGCACCTAGAGGTGACAGCAGTACGGGCTAAAAAAAAAATCCTTTAAAGACACACAAAGTATGGGGTCTGCTCGCACTAGAAGCAACCTGTCTGCAAGGCACATCCAATTAGCTCCCCACCAATCTGGCTGGGTCTAAGTATAGTGAGGTAGAAACAGGGAACTGAATTGTAGAACTGTCATTTCTAAAGGGCTGCACTCCTTTTCACCCTAAACAGGATTCAGTAGGATTCTTAGACTTCTCCTCGCCCCCTTCCCCCGCCTCCACACTTCAAATGTCAGCAAGCTGATATTCCAAGGTGGCGGTTGCAACCTTCCCAGGCTACAAAGGAGTTTGCTTTGAACTGCTGAACTATTACTATTTTTTAAACCCTTTTCTTGTTAACTCAACTGAGAAGAGCTTGCCATCACCACTGCAAACCCTGGTGCTTTATGATTTCTCTAAAGGCACAAGTTGGTCATATTTTTAAGTGACAGCATTATGTCTCTCAGCTTCTTATGCATATTGAACTAGTATAAACTTTGTAAAGAGGAGCCCAGCCTGCGAAGTTTGGATCTAGATTCAAGCTTTCCCAGAATTTACACAAGTTCCCAACACACATTAAGGTGCACCTGGAAATGAACTGAAGCCAACACCGTCTATGAATCACAGATGTAATAAGAAAAAAAGATGCCAGAAACATTTTTCCAAAGGACAATTTGGAAACTGCTAAGTGGAGAGCCCCATTCTACACAACCTGCAGTTTCCAAATTGTCCTAGAGTGCAGCCTCATACAGACCCTAATAGGGTAATACAATCTATAGAAAATTTTGGTACTTCATTGTAGGGGTGACCAGAGCTGGTTGAAAAAAAAAGTTGACAAAACTTCTTCTCATAAAAACATGTTGGTTTCAGCTAACATTTCATTGGAAAAGTTTCTCATGTCCTTAATGGAATTTCTGGTAGTTGGCGCTCTCACTTGGGATAGGAGACACTCAGGTTCTTGCTTTACCAGATTTGGATTCAAGGCCTGAACCTGAATCTCCCCCAAGTAAATGACACCACTTTGTTGGATATTCTTGGGTACAATTAAGCCACTTAAGAACACAGTTTGCATCTTATACCAAAGTGCTTCTCTCACTAATTGTCAGATTATATTTATTAGGCATGTGCATAGAATCCAAAACTGGAAGATGTCATCAAGTCTAGTCTCCTGTCCTCACGGCAGGACCAAGCACTGTCTAGATCATCCCTGACAGGTGTCTGTCTAACCTGCTCTTAAATATCTCCAGTGACAAAAGTAGAGGATGGTGCAGAATTGCTCTGTCCCTTGCAGAAGCTCCAACAGGCATCAGTGCCTCAGAAGTAAGGTGCCTCCCAGAGTTTCAGCAGAGCACAGTTGCTTCCCCACCATGTAGAATACTGCCCTCCACTGCCGCTTATACTCTGATGGCTGGTGAGCAGCTAAGCCATGGCTGACTCCTCCCTGCCACTGCTTACTCTGTTAGGTGAAATTGTGCTCCAAGGGGTGCTAGCAAGACGTAGTCCCAGCACTCGAGTACAGGGCAGCTACTATTGCATGCACCTTACCTACGTGAGCCATTTACTTCAAACAGAAGCTAGAGCACAGCTCACCCACTAAGATTTCCTGGATTGTGCAGCACCTATTTGGGATCCAGGAAGCACAGAAATTGTTTCAGATATCATAATATTGCGATGCCCTTAACCTTTTGTGCTTGCGCCAGCAAGAGATGGCACAAAACCACAGACCGTTACTCTACTAATAGAGGAGAGAGAGTTAATATTACTGTATCAAACCCCATGCTTACCTGTCACCAGAGACAGAGATCAGGTGTTTGCAGTCATTACTGAACTTCATCCCAGTTACAATCTCTGTATAAATCAAAACACAAGAACAATGTCTCTTAAAATATGCCATTGTGCAGCACAGATCACTGGCAAAATAGATTTATTGAGCTCCATTCTGTCCTCAAACACTGATTAGATCCAGCATGTTTCCATGAAGCTGAGATACCCAAATTCAGCTGGGTGGTCCCTCTAGGTCAAAATTTACAAAAAAAAGTTGTAATTTCAATCCATTTTTTGAATCATCAAAATTTCTGCCATCTCCATGGCTGGTCAAAGGAACCCCAACATTTCCAAAATGGGGTTTTTGGTTTTGTTTGTTTGGGTTTTTTTGTTTGATTGTTCTTTAATTGAAAATTGAATTAACAATTAAAAGTTTCATGCAAAATTCAGAAAAGTTTGACCAGCAGCTGAAAAGGCATTTCCTGAAACTTTTGTGACTCACCAGAGTGACCATACATTGTAGCCACACACTCGCCAGAGTAGAAATCAAAGATGGAGAGGTTCTTGTCAGAGCAGCTGGTTGCAATGTAGAGACCGGAGGGATCAGTCTGCACCTGGTTGAGTACAGGAGGAAGAAATGGCAGGTGAGAAAGTACCTTAAGGTAACGTCTATACTACCACCCTAGTTCGAACGAGGGTGGTTAATGTAGGCAACCGAAGTTGCAAATGAAGCCTGGGATTTGAATTTCCCGGGCTTCATTTGCATCTTGCTGGGTGCCGCCATTTTTAAAGCCCCACTAGTTCGGACTCCGTGCACGCGGCTACACGCGGCACAGAGTAGGTAGTTCGGATTAGGCTTCCTATTCCGAACTACTGGTACATCTCATTCCATGAGGAGTAACGGTAGTTCGGAATAGGAAGCCTAATCCGAACTACCTACTCCAAGTGCACCAAGCCAGTCCCGCCAGCCCTTAGTGCCGCCGCGAGTGCAGCGCCTCTTCCCCCCTCCCCCAGTGCTTAGAGCCGACTGGAGGGTGCTGCACAATGCTCCAGTGGCGATAGAAAAGGCCTGGGGCTTAGGGTCCCGCTGTGACCCCCAGGCCCTTTAGAATTGTCAGGCCCTGTGGCAATTCCCCGCTGTTGCTGGGCCTGTGTATGATTCTGTGATTGCACTTCCCCTGGTGTAACCCAGGAGTCGCACTGGACAAGCCTGTGAGCTAACGCTAAGACCAGTGTCAGGGAGGTTGGTTTGTAGTTTGTAGAACAATTGCCCTGCACTGTTAGCCATTTACGTTAATGCAAAACAGGGCTGAAGGGCTATCCAATGATAGTGGTGGCATTTTGAATCTGTTTTGCATGGCGTGATTATGCATGACGCGTGGCATTAGCGAGTTGGGTCTCCAGGCCCTGACTATTATTAATAAATAAATCATTATTTGTATTACCACAGTGCCGAGAGGCCCCAGTGGCAGTCCAGGATGTCAGTGTACTAGGTGCTTGCTCGCTTACGCTGTTTTGTATCTGGTAACTCCATTGATTTAGTGGAATTATTCCTGGTTTACGTTGATGTAGGCGAGCTCAGAATCAGGCCTTGTTTTCATTGCTGGAAAGATGGTTTGGTTTTTTTTAACCTCATTTTTCTTTTTACCCTGAGGTATTATGCACCCCAAGATAAAAAACACAGTGAAAACCTGGCATTTTTGCTTCACTTCAAGATAAATTAGGTAACGTCAACTCCATGCGAGCTTGACCTCACCTAGTTTACCTCATATAAGTACCTAGTCTTACCTGTATTTTTAATGCATGATGGTTCACGTTTGTTAGTTGCCCTGAGGCAAAAAATGCACCTGTTTTTAGCCCAAAGCCTGAAACCCATACTCCATTTACTTTAATGGACTTATTCCTGTGGGAAAAACTGAAACAACAAATAGTCTTGTAGCACCTTTAGAAACTAACAAAAAATGTAGATGGTATGGTGAGCTTTGGTGGGCACAACTGACTCCTGTGGGATTCAATAGAAGAGGCATGAAGAATAAAACTCAGGCCATAAGAACATAAAAATGGCCATACTGGGTCAGACCAAAGGCTCATCTAGCCCAGTAGCCTGTCTGCCGACAGTGGCCAGTACCAGGTGCACCAAAAAGGGTGGACCGAAGACAATGATCAAGCAATTTGTCTCCTGCCATCCTTCTCCAGCCTCTGACAAACAGAGAGGGACACCATTTCTATCCCCTGGCTAATAGCCTTTTATGGACCTAACCTCCATGAAATTATCTAGCTTCTCTTTAAACTCTGTTATAGTCCTAGCCTTCACAGCCTTCTCTGGCAAGGAGTTCCACAGGTTGACTACACGCTGTGTGAAGAAGGACTTTCTTTTATTAGTTTTAAACCTGCTACCCATTAACTTCATTTGGTGTCCTCTAGTTCTTCTATTATGGGAACTAATAAATAACTTTTATTTATTCGCACTCTCCACACCACTCATGATTTTATATGCCTCTATCGTATCCCCCCCTCAGTCTCCTCTTTTCTAACCTGAAAAGTCCCAGTCGTTTTAACCTCTCTTCATAAGGGACCCACTCCAAACCCCTAAAGGCTCTGGCTGTTTAACTAGAGGTAACAATTTTGTTTTTTCCGAGTTAGTTTATGTATTTTTCATGAGGTTCTCTTTTTAAATTCCAGTTCTATGTATGACCCCAGATTCCAAACAAATTTGAATTCAAGAGCCAAGAGTGATTGCACAGTTATACAGTGAGTCTCTAAAAAATAGAGTGGGCTGAAAATGGAAAAGAATACTTATGCTGCTGTTCCTTATTAGTGCTCAGTACTACTGCACTCTCTCTCCATGTCAGTAGAAGCTACTGTCTGCTAGATAGTTTAAAAAAAAAAATCAGTAATATTTAATTGTTTGGGGCAATAAAGAATTGAGCACCTAAAAAGATAGAGCAGCCATTTTCCATTTTCAGTGCCTTGGTGTGTAAGGAAGGGCAAAATATAGTAATTGCAAATAAAGCATAGCTACCTATCTGAACAAAAGCAGAAAAAGGTGATTATGCCTGCATCTCATTTGTTAACAATACATCTGTGCCCATTAAATCACATATGGCTCACTTGCCTAGCCCACTAGAAATAATCCTTTGAAAAGAAAAAGAAGAAAAAAGATTGACTATAAAAAAGCAGCCTGTGACATGCTGTCTTAAGGCGAATTAAGAGATCTAAGTGAATTGGCCTTTCGCATTTCAAGACAAGCTCAAATCTGAAATAGATCACAAGAATGGTCTCAGCTTTGTTCCTCAGGACACATCCCCAAGCTATCCCATTTGTCAGGAAGACGTAGCGCTAGGAAAGATGTGGGCACGGTACCCCCGAGCAGAGATGCAGAGACCAGCATGCACAGAACCTGCCTATTCAGCACTGGGATCTCGAGTTGCTCCAAGTCCTTCAGGACAGCAGGGTGTTTTAGCGTGAGTCTTGAGGAGTTCAATCTATTCCTAAATCTCTCACTTGCCTGAGGATCTCTTCCTTGGCAACACAAACACTTCTCATAAACCTTGAATGCCAGTAGCTGCAGCACATAATCTTAATGCAAATAAACCAAAGGCCTGGAATCAGCTCTTCCCAAATGGAGCTCAGGGAGAAAGCAATCACATGCAGGTTTCCCATCATTGGACAAGAAACTATAAGGAAAACCAAGCCAAGGCAAGAATCCCCAAAGACTGCCTTGTACATAGTTTGACACTGCTGGCAAGTGCCTCCAAAGCCAACAGGAGGAAATGCCCTTGATTCTTGCAAGCAGCACATAGGTCAAATTCTCCTCTATATTGATGCAGGTTCATTGATTTCAGTGGATCTTGGACAGTTTAGATCAGCAGAAAATTTGGCCCAGTGCATCACTTGCAATACAATGAGAAAGATTAAACAAACTTGTATTCGCGTATCCCATTTACCCTGAATTAGTCCACGTGTGTTTACCCAGACTGCGGGTGGGTCATGATAAGGGTTAATATGTGTGGATAGGTTCTGGAAGAGGTCTTTGAATTGGATTTTAACATTAGTTAATTGTTTTATGCACATGGGGTAAGGAACTGCTGCTGCCTATTTGTCTTGGACACAACAGTATTAATAAATGAACATCTTGAGTGTCCAGTGCCCAGGACAAGCAGTTTGTAATATGCACTTGATAGCCAAGAGCAAGAAAGTCCTTAATAAATGTCCACATTAGTGCTTCAGAGGGAAAAGTTCACACACCAAAATATCCTGGATCTCATGTCCCTAAGTACTGGATTCCAAAGAGCGGAGAGAGAGAGAGAACAAGTGTATAGAAGAGGCAGGGAGTGGGAGAGAAAAAAATATGATGCTTGAAATTCTGGAGGTCTTACTTTAATAAGGGTGCCATCTTCACCTTGGGATCCCTTGTATAGCTTCTTCTGCTTCCCACTGCTTATGTTGAAAATCCTGAGGGGGTCACAAGCCACACATCACATCCCTGCTCTGTTCTCTGCTTCTCACAAGCTTCCCTCCCTTCCCTCCATGGTAGGTCGCTTTGCACAGTCACTGTATGGAACGGAGTGACAGGACGGAGGACAAGTGGCCATTTCAAGGGGAGCAGAACAATGTTGGCCATAATTCATAAAGCTCACAATCATCCAAGTGGTTAAAGAAACAGCCTGGGAGGTAGCATGGGGGCCCAAAGATTACATCATTTAGTACCAAGTGAAAGACCTGCATTTGCACAAACACTCTCTATTGATTTTCAAGCTGGTACGGTGATGAGTATGTTTAGCTCTCGGTAACTGATGGGGCCATCAGAAAGAAGAAAAGGAACGTCATGGAACTTAAGGATGTTAATTGGCCACATATTCTGAGTGACTGCCAAGTGGAGTTTGGTTAGTATAGTCAATGGATGTCCTTATGTACCACTAACCAAGCTCCACTCGGCTGTCTCAGCTGTGGTGGCCCATTCACAAAGAGGCAGGTGTCCTGTTAATGGATTTTGATCATAAAATGAAGGTCATTGTTGCACCCGCTATTGTGTGTTCGCCCCAAATTCTGTGCAAAGTGGGCCAAGTGCAGTGTCTAATGAACACTTATGCTATGCTGATCCTATTTATGCTACTCATATACATGCATGATTTTTGTATGTAAAGTTATGAATATTGGCTCTGTACTTGTATTTTAAATGTTTTCTGTCTGGGAGACAGCAACAGGCATCAACCACCTAGTGAGAGAAGTGGTTACTCAGTGAATAGCTATGCTACATGGACAATGGCTCTTCAGTGTTGCCAATAAACACCTGAGGAATTTCTGCTGCAAACCTGCAGACCAGCAGGTACCTCATGGCTGCTTGCCTAAAAGGACATGGGCAGGTTAGTTGATTATGCGATCAATTTCATTTTGGGAGGTGCTGTCACTCAGGAGCACAATGGATTTCCCTCTGCATGGGCAAGATTATAAAAGGATCCTTGGGGTTCCTCCATCTTTGTCTTCAATCCTGCTCTCCACTCCAAAAGCACCTTTGCTAAGGACAGAGGGCCCAGAAGGATTTGTTGACCTACCCTAACATAAAAGGCTCTGGAGTGCATCCTAAGCTAGCAGTCTAGTGTAGACATACCCTTAGAGTGATGCACAAGAAATGCCCAGAATGCTAGAAAGAGGGGCACACACACCACTCAAACTACGGTTTAAGGTCACCCTGCAAAAGAATATCAGGGCAGTTACTGTACACTGAAAGTTTGCAATTTTTGTTTGAGTTTCATATAAACAGCCTGTCTCTGCTTGGTTGTTCGCATCTAGTTCCCTGAAATAAGGCAGGTCAGGTAAAACAAGACCATCCCTGGCAGATGCTTGCTAACATGTTCTTTAAAACCTCCAATGACAGTGGTTCTACAACCCCAAGTTTAACTAGTTCTTAACTATCCTTAGAGTTAGAAAGTTCCTCGTAATATCTAACCTAAATCTCACAGATTAAGTCTATTACTTCCTTCCCTACCTTCAATCCATATGGAGAAAAACTGATCATTATTGTCTTATTAACAGCACTTAACACATTTGAAAATTTATCAGGTCTTCTCTCAGTCTTCTTTTCTCAAGACCTTTCTAGCATCTACCCACATCTATGACCCTATTCTTATTCATGCCCCTACTTAGCTGCCAAACCATCCAGCGACCTTAGGGCAAGCTCATAAACTACTTGTCAAAACTCTTCCAAGAACTACATCTAGCTGCCTTCCCAAATGCCAAAATCCTTCACACCACCCCGAATTCAATCTAAGACTAACGTTGATTGCCTCTGAAGGCCCCCACCAATAACCCCTTTAATTATTGATTTGGGATCCATTATTTTCAGTTGCTCTTGGTTCTGCTTAAGTCTATCCCAGGCTCAGAAATTATAGCTGGAAAAATTACATGAAATACCAAATCATCCAAGACTTCGATATAGAAATTAGGCATGAGTTTAGTGCTGTTGAGATCTTGTACTAGCTGCAAATGTCATGAAACCTCCTGTTTCCATAATCCCACATTGCCCAATACAAAGCAATGCAATAAAAAACACATATGATTTGTCTACATGTCTATTGCTTCACTTCTATATGCGCTGTGTTACCTACCCTCTGCACCCTCTGTTCTGGAGCTGTTGCTATGTGCATGCTTTGACAAACTTTAGAGAAGTATGCATACAGAAGTCTTGATACGAGGCGAACATAAGAACAGCCGCACTGGGTCAGACCAAAGGTCCATCTAGCCCAGTAGCCTGTCTGCCAACAGTGGCCAGCACCAGGTGCCCCAGAGAGGGTGGACCGAAGACAATGATCAAGTGATTTGTCTCCTGCCATCCTTCTCCAGCCTCTGACAGACAGAGGCCAGGGACACCATTCCTATCCCCTGGCCTTTTATGGACCTAACCTCCATGAAATTATCTAGCTTCTCTTTAAACTCTGTTATAGTCCTAGCCTTCACAGCCTTCTCTGGCAAGGAGTTCCACAGGTTGACTACACGCTGTGTGAAGAAGGACTTTCTTTTATTAGTTTTAAACCTGCTACCCATTAACTTCATTTGGTGTCCTCTAGTTCTTCTATTATGGGAACTAATAAATAACTTTTATTTATTCGCACTCTCCACACCACTCATGATTTTATATGCCTCTATCGTATCCCCCCCTCAGTCTCCTCTTTTCTAACCTGAAAAGTCCCAGTCGTTTTAACCTCTCTTCATAAGGGACCCACTCCAAACCCCTAAAGGCTCTGGCTGTTTAACTAGAGGTAACAATTTTGTTTTTTCCGAGTTAGTTTATGTATTTTTCATGAGGTTCTCTTTTTAAATTCCAGTTCTATGTATGACCCCAGATTCCAAACAAATTTGAATTCAAGAGCCAAGAGTGATTGCACAGTTATACAGTGAGTCTCTAAAAAATAGAGTGGGCTGAAAATGGAAAAGAATACTTATGCTGCTGTTCCTTATTAGTGCTCAGTACTACTGCACTCTCTCTCCATGTCAGTAGAAGCTACTGTCTGCTAGATAGTTTAAAAAAAAAAATCAGTAATATTTAATTGTTTGGGGCAATAAAGAATTGAGCACCTAAAAAGATAGAGCAGCCATTTTCCATTTTCAGTGCCTTGGTGTGTAAGGAAGGGCAAAATATAGTAATTGCAAATAAAGCATAGCTACCTATCTGAACAAAAGCAGAAAAAGGTGATTATGCCTGCATCTCATTTGTTAACAATACATCTGTGCCCATTAAATCACATATGGCTCACTTGCCTAGCCCACTAGAAATAATCCTTTGAAAAGAAAAAGAAGAAAAAAGATTGACTATAAAAAAGCAGCCTGTGACATGCTGTCTTAAGGCGAATTAAGAGATCTAAGTGAATTGGCCTTTCGCATTTCAAGACAAGCTCAAATCTGAAATAGATCACAAGAATGGTCTCAGCTTTGTTCCTCAGGACACATCCCCAAGCTATCCCATTTGTCAGGAAGACGTAGCGCTAGGAAAGATGTGGGCACGGTACCCCCGAGCAGAGATGCAGAGACCAGCATGCACAGAACCTGCCTATTCAGCACTGGGATCTCGAGTTGCTCCAAGTCCTTCAGGACAGCAGGGTGTTTTAGCGTGAGTCTTGAGGAGTTCAATCTATTCCTAAATCTCTCACTTGCCTGAGGATCTCTTCCTTGGCAACACAAACACTTCTCATAAACCTTGAATGCCAGTAGCTGCAGCACATAATCTTAATGCAAATAAACCAAAGGCCTGGAATCAGCTCTTCCCAAATGGAGCTCAGGGAGAAAGCAATCACATGCAGGTTTCCCATCATTGGACAAGAAACTATAAGGAAAACCAAGCCAAGGCAAGAATCCCCAAAGACTGCCTTGTACATAGTTTGACACTGCTGGCAAGTGCCTCCAAAGCCAACAGGAGGAAATGCCCTTGATTCTTGCAAGCAGCACATAGGTCAAATTCTCCTCTATATTGATGCAGGTTCATTGATTTCAGTGGATCTTGGACAGTTTAGATCAGCAGAAAATTTGGCCCAGTGCATCACTTGCAATACAATGAGAAAGATTAAACAAACTTGTATTCGCGTATCCCATTTACCCTGAATTAGTCCACGTGTGTTTACCCAGACTGCGGGTGGGTCATGATAAGGGTTAATATGTGTGGATAGGTTCTGGAAGAGGTCTTTGAATTGGATTTTAACATTAGTTAATTGTTTTATGCACATGGGGTAAGGAACTGCTGCTGCCTATTTGTCTTGGACACAACAGTATTAATAAATGAACATCTTGAGTGTCCAGTGCCCAGGACAAGCAGTTTGTAATATGCACTTGATAGCCAAGAGCAAGAAAGTCCTTAATAAATGTCCACATTAGTGCTTCAGAGGGAAAAGTTCACACACCAAAATATCCTGGATCTCATGTCCCTAAGTACTGGATTCCAAAGAGCGGAGAGAGAGAGAGAACAAGTGTATAGAAGAGGCAGGGAGTGGGAGAGAAAAAAATATGATGCTTGAAATTCTGGAGGTCTTACTTTAATAAGGGTGCCATCTTCACCTTGGGATCCCTTGTATAGCTTCTTCTGCTTCCCACTGCTTATGTTGAAAATCCTGAGGGGGTCACAAGCCACACATCACATCCCTGCTCTGTTCTCTGCTTCTCACAAGCTTCCCTCCCTTCCCTCCATGGTAGGTCGCTTTGCACAGTCACTGTATGGAACGGAGTGACAGGACGGAGGACAAGTGGCCATTTCAAGGGGAGCAGAACAATGTTGGCCATAATTCATAAAGCTCACAATCATCCAAGTGGTTAAAGAAACAGCCTGGGAGGTAGCATGGGGGCCCAAAGATTACATCATTTAGTACCAAGTGAAAGACCTGCATTTGCACAAACACTCTCTATTGATTTTCAAGCTGGTACGGTGATGAGTATGTTTAGCTCTCGGTAACTGATGGGGCCATCAGAAAGAAGAAAAGGAACGTCATGGAACTTAAGGATGTTAATTGGCCACATATTCTGAGTGACTGCCAAGTGGAGTTTGGTTAGTATAGTCAATGGATGTCCTTATGTACCACTAACCAAGCTCCACTCGGCTGTCTCAGCTGTGGTGGCCCATTCACAAAGAGGCAGGTGTCCTGTTAATGGATTTTGATCATAAAATGAAGGTCATTGTTGCACCCGCTATTGTGTGTTCGCCCCAAATTCTGTGCAAAGTGGGCCAAGTGCAGTGTCTAATGAACACTTATGCTATGCTGATCCTATTTATGCTACTCATATACATGCATGATTTTTGTATGTAAAGTTATGAATATTGGCTCTGTACTTGTATTTTAAATGTTTTCTGTCTGGGAGACAGCAACAGGCATCAACCACCTAGTGAGAGAAGTGGTTACTCAGTGAATAGCTATGCTACATGGACAATGGCTCTTCAGTGTTGCCAATAAACACCTGAGGAATTTCTGCTGCAAACCTGCAGACCAGCAGGTACCTCATGGCTGCTTGCCTAAAAGGACATGGGCAGGTTAGTTGATTATGCGATCAATTTCATTTTGGGAGGTGCTGTCACTCAGGAGCACAATGGATTTCCCTCTGCATGGGCAAGATTATAAAAGGATCCTTGGGGTTCCTCCATCTTTGTCTTCAATCCTGCTCTCCACTCCAAAAGCACCTTTGCTAAGGACAGAGGGCCCAGAAGGATTTGTTGACCTACCCTAACATAAAAGGCTCTGGAGTGCATCCTAAGCTAGCAGTCTGTTACATCTTTGCTAAGAGCCTACATCAAGAACTTGGTGATTGATGTACATCCTATGCTTTCTTTAACAATTCGTGTCTCAACCTTTTCTTTCTTTTTATTAATAAACCTTTAGATATAGATTCTAAAGGATTGGCACAGCGTGCTCTTTTGGGTAAGATCTAAGGTGTAAATTGACCCTTGGTGATCAGTAGAACCTGTTTGGAGTTGGCGAGATTGGTTTTCATACTCTCTCACCTGTGTAAGGTGTGGTGCTGGCTGTGGCACAGGTAAACTGGAGTGTCTAAGGGGATTGCTTGTGTAACTTCTTGCTGGCCAGAGTAGCAGTTGAAGTGTACTTTGACTGGTTTGGTGCCTTATATAAAAGGACCCCCCAGTCTTGGGCTGTAAGTAGCCTTGATTCTAAGCAATTTGCCCTGGTTCACCCCTCACAGCAGTGCCCCAGACCTCCTGTTATATTACAGCAGGTTATATTTAGGGGCAGGGGAGCATTTAAGAGTGGTGCAACCCAGACCTCCCAACACTGCACAACTCCTGAGAGCTCACCCATATCCAACATCATGTGAACCAACCTAATGTTACGGTCTTGACAGCCAATGGCAGCATATTTCCAGCTGGGGTCCACATCCATGTCATACAAAGTGGTCTTCCTAACGACATGGTGTGTCCGGGTAAACCGGACCCCCTCACCTGTCTGAGCACAGGAGGGAAAAAATTAGTGACGGCCAAGAAGCTAAGCAGTAATAAAAAACGCTTACATGTGCCTGACTCCCCCTAAGCAGGTAGCCTGCACAAGCAAACCACATCACTCCTGTTGGGAGAGACAGCGACTGGAGGTGCAATGAACTCCTTTCCACAGCCATTGCTCCTGCACCAACCCCTGTGATTTCTGCTGAGAAGATAAAAGGGCTTTGTAATGCTGCTGTAGCCCACTTCAGCAGGGAGAGGGTTACAGACAAGCCAGAGGAGGCTTGCGTAACTCTAGCCAATTAGGGCAAAGAACAGTTAAAATGCTGTGAGGGCCGAGGTGAATACACTCTTGCTCCTACTGTGGAGCAGGAGGGATCTGGCTACCTAGGAAGCTACAGAGCGTGCCTGAGACAGAGCAGGGCTGGGGAAAGGCAGGAAGATCTGGTGTGTTGTGGTCGACCCCACTCCCAGGCTGCAGGCCTGATACAGGAGCACGAGTGGTACTAGGGCTGCAGGGAAGCAGCCAGAGCAGGAGAAGGCAAGTCTATACTTCTTGCCACTGATGAGTGGCCATTTCAGACTGCAGTTTGCCTGTGAGAGAGGAGCTAGATGATGACTAGAAGTGGTCACCGAGGCAAGGTGGCTATAGGGAATTAGTTTCCCTGGGTGGAGAGGACTCCAGAATGCAGAGGCACTGTTGTAAGGCAGTACCACTTGGAAAGGGCACTGTGAACCGGACAGACACGGGACCTGAAGAAGCACAGAAGACAGGTAACTGAGGGCGACACACCAGTCAACAGGGGGCACTCCAGGGCTGGAGGAGTTAATTCCCAAGGAGACCAGCAGGAGGTGCCACTGAGTCAACCTTGCTACAGGCTCACTAACCCAGTGGTTACCAGACTGTGGTGGTACTGTAGTGGAGCCACGCAGAGCCTCTTGCAACCAGCACATCCTTCAACCTGTGCTGCTTCCTGGCTGCCGGCATGGACCCTCTTAGCTGAGCTGAGAGGCTGCATGCCAGCAGCTAACACATCCTTGAGCCTGCACTGATTCCCCAGCAGGCTGGGAGACGCCCTGCGGGAAGCAGTGTGGGCTGAGGGACGTGCAAGCTGCGGGCACAGCTATATTGTTTGCGGAGGGGGGAGAGGGGGCATAACATTTTAATAGATTGAAAAGGCGTCTGTAGCCTCGAAACGGTTGGGAGCCAGTCCACTAACCAATCCCTACAGTGACTCCTGCTGTGGGAGAGGCTGGGACTGGAGCAGCTGTGTACTTCCTGAGGGGAACAGCACCACGCTCCCACACAGACACTGCTCTCACACCAATCCTTGAAGTAGCTCCTAGGCGCAGAAGTTACAGAAAAGTACCCAATGGCTGTAATTGTTACCTTCTGTGCAGTGCGGAAATAGACACTCTTGTCCGCTCCACAGCTGATCATTCGCACCTTCCCATCGTTGGCTGGAAGACAGAGAAACCCAGAGAGAGGTCAGTAAATGAGCAAGAGGAACCCAACAAGCAATGGAGGAGGAGATGTTCTAGCTACCCCAGCCCTGTTTGCCTAGGCCTGCCCCCTGCTCCTATACATCAGCTCTGTGGGATGGCACACACAGCAGCAGCTCTCTCTTTCCTAGAGAAGGAACCGTCTCCACCACCACCACAAGTCCAGAAGGTGCCTAAATGAATGCCACAGAGGCCTCAGTCAGCCAGAAAATCCATCACACAGTGGGGTAGACATTTGATTCTGCTGCATCGCTTAACAATTCAACAGCATGTTAACGGCCTTGTTCTCTGGACACACAGCACTCCATGCGGATGTGGGTGGGAAAGGTAGCTCTGTGCTGTTGCTGAGCGCATATGCTGCTCTGAGTAATCCAAATTTCTGGTGTCTTTCTTATTGCTACTCCCAGTTCTGCCTTTCACAGAGCAGACATTCCTTCACCGACCAAAAATAACCTCTTTAGAAACCAATTGCGGAAACTAGAACTTGCTTCCCTGTCAGAGCGAATACAATTAAAATCTTCAAATTCAGTTTAAAGGGACCAAATTCAGTCCTGGTGAAAATGGACATAACTTCAGAGTCAGCACATACACCAGGACTGAACCTGGCCCATGGAAGGAGCCTTCAGCCATTTTGAGCAGTGTGGGGCTACGCAGGGAGGGAGCCTGCCTCAGGGTCCCTGTTAAGCTGTTGCCCAGGAGCCACTTAAGGTAAATCTGACAAAGTGGGTCTTTGCCCACGAAAGCTTATGCTCTAATAAATCTGTCAGTCTATAAGGTGCCACAGGACTTCTCGTTGTTTATGCAGATTCAGATTAAGGTAAATGACTCCCAGCCAGAAACCTGCTGCTGGCACCCCACTAACTCATATTCCTCAACTCCCTGCCCCAGGTCACCACCTCTCCTGGCGCAGGTCACAACCTAAACCCTCTGCTCTCCCCTGCCCCTGGTTACAAGTCCCTCCCAGACTCTGCTCCCTCTCCTACACCCCTCCTCAGGCCAAAATCTTCTCCTACACTCATAACTCCTTCCCAAGCTTGTACCCCAAACCCCTGCCTGAAGTCACCACCCAAACCTTCTGCACCCGTCCTCCCTCAGGTCACAACTCTCCCCCAGACCTGACACCCTCTTCTATATCCCTCCCCCAGGAAGAAGTCCACTCCTGGACCCTGGACCCCAATCTCCTGCCCCAGGTCACAACCCTTTCCTTCACGCCGACTCCCTTTCAGATCCCACGCCCTCTCCAGCACCCCAGTCCCCTACCCCGAGCTCCCTTCTGCACCCAACCTCAGTTCCAGATGCTGTACCCCCTCCATAGAAAAGTGAGGCCTCTGACCACTTACTAACATCTTGGAGTGGCCCACCCATTAAAAATTATTGCCCACCCCTGGGTTAGTGCTTGTACTACACTGCCATCTGAGAGACCCAAGCACACGTTTCCAGCCTCTGCCCACCACTCCTCCAGCCATCAGCAACTAGGAGCATTGTGAAAGTACAATGTGCAGGGGCTGAGCAATGTGAGGTACTCCATTCCTGCACAGGGAGCATCTGCCCTATAGTGAAATGTAGCAATGCCAGTATTAATTGGCCTAGACTCTAGGCCAATTAATACTGGCATTGCTACATTTCAAAGAGAGCCTTTGCTTGAACTCCCTCAGTCAGAAGAACAGGGGTGAGATGTAAGCATCTGAGATGAGAGCTTTTTAGGGCTTGTCTGTTTTTTTACAGGTACTTCGGAAACATGACTTTCCAGAGAAATATGAAGGAAAGGATAAGGTGATTCTCGACTTTGAGCACAATTTCTAGCTATGGAAAGGGAGGGAAAAGTAGCTTGATCTGCACCAGTGCTTAAAAAGTTAATTGTATCTACCTGCAAACTTCACAGCTGTAATGGAAGATGAGTGCTCATCTAGAGTCTGCTGCAGGCTGTACTCCTTCCCAGCATCCAATACATGGATCAGTCTGTCCCGACTGGCTGATGCCAAGAGCTTCAACCCTACCAATGATATTATGGGAGGGTAAAACCTTCACTAAGAAGTAATTTGCTCCTTGGTCAGGGCTTTAAACATCCTCTAATTAGGTTACAGAAGATCATCATAGATTAGTGCAAGTAAACAGATAAGCACAAGGAAACGTTCCCAAGGTTTCCAACCGTGATAGGGGAAGCAATCATCCATGTCTGCCGGTGTCCATGTGACAGCAAGAGGAGGAAGTCAGCTTCAAACTCAGGGTTTTTAGGCAATGCTACAGGCCTCTACTCTGTGAGCGAATGAAGCAGGTCACCAGCAGAGAGCTGTTACACACGATGGTCAGCACAGAGCCATTCGGCAACACATATGCAAGCCAGTACAACATAAGGAATGCACATAAATCATCAATGGGAATAAAGATTCTGCTCTATCTTACCCGTGTCAGATTTAGAGTACTCCAGGCAGAGGATCTCCGAGTCATGGGCTTCCACCTTCAGCATTTCCCTTAAGGACTGCAACTCATGGATCCTGAAACAGGACAGAGATGGATCCAGGGTGAAAGTGGAACCACACAATGAGACACACAAAATAGTCCTTTTGCCCATTCCCCCTCTGACTCCCATCTAACTCTCCTCTAGAAACTCCAGTTACCTCAGAGTGCCTATCCTGTCGCCTGAGGCCAGGTGCTCTCCATTGGGGCTCACACAAAGTGTGCGAATCCCCACCTTTGTATCCAAGGCCTGGGCGTCAGCCTTGTCTGTGTTCCCACCAGAGTTGTAATCGGTGTCCAGCAGAGCCTGCGTGTTGCCATCCACATAGATGATTTTCATCAGGTCCTTCATCAGGAAGGAGAGAAAAGGCCAGTTAACATCAAAGCCAAGCACTGGCAGGCAGATTCCTCACGAAACACAAGCAATGGCCAATGTATTCCTTTTAGTGGCAGTAACAGA